TTTTTTCGGGAACCCTTTGACCGAAGGAGGAGAAAGAAAGAAGTAATTAGCCGGACTTGTAGAAATCGAAAGCCAAAGTAAAATGTCATATATATTTTTTAATCTTAATAAATAAATAAAAAATTGTTTTTTGCTTGAAATCGGTTATCAATCCTAGGCGGCAGAGGCGCAAGAGGCTCTCGAAGAGGAGTCGCTTGCGAAAGTCGAGGCTGATGTTACGAAAGAGTTATCGCATTCCCTATTCGACGACCAAGTAAAAATAATTTATCAATTTATTGATATTTCTGTTTTTCTTTATTTACGTATCGAAACTTTTCGATTGATGTGTATATATATAGTTGGAGAAGGCCGTTGCAGAAGAGATGTCGGCATTCAAGGAAGAGTGGGAAGCGGAGCTCGACGAACTCGAGACCGAGAGCGTTCGTTTGCTCGTATGTGCTTCAAGAGTTGTTTCTATTACACGATCGAATAGAAAACGGTTAATTTGTTCGTAATTGTTCGAATCGAACTAAATCGATTGGCTTCGATTTTTTGTGTGAGCAGGAACAACTTGATGGTGCTGGTATCGAACTTTCGAGTCTGTATAAGTTGATCGAAAAACAAGTACCTAACGTTTGCTGCACCGAGTCATGGAAGAAGACGACTCACTGGGTTGGAACTCAGTTGTCGCAAGACGCAAGCGACTCAGTTGCTCGGGCGGACGAGTATCTGGAAATCCATCGACCCGTGAGAAGGTTTGATTCTCTACATTTAATTGTAAAATCGTTAAATTTCTTGTTTCTGATTTTTGAATCTGGCGTTGAGCTGAGCAGAAGGCACGGTAAGATCTTGGAGGAGGGTGCGAGTGGTTTCTTGGGAAAGAAAATCGAGACGTGTGCAAGTAGCGTATCGGTAAATGAAGATACGGATTCCGATTGGGACTCGTTCAGCAAAATGTGCTGTGAAAAGTCAACTCTGCAAGATATCACATTCGGCAGCAAGCACTGGGCTTCCGTTTATCTAGCCAGCACTCCGCAGCAAGCTGCTGAACTAGGTCTAAAATTTGCAGGAGTCGACGAGGTGACGGTTATTTTATTAGCTGAGTTGACTTTTTCTTGAAGTTTCGAAAACCATCGTATGTCTTATATTAAATACTCGCCAGGTGGAGGAGATTGCTGATGTTGACGGTGCTTCGATCGATCCATTGACGGCCGATGCTATAGCAAACGAGACGGTTACGAGTCTGACTGAAGAGCAAAAGAGGAACTTTAGGAAGGTCTGACTCGGTATTCGTAAAATTTCACGACTTACGAGATTACTTTAAATTTTTATCTCTGCACTTGTTTGACAGGTTAAAGAGGAAGACGATGCAAATGATGATCTCGAGGTTCGTATTCGAACGAAACAGAGGAGATTTAGGCCGCATTGCAAAGAGGTTCGTCGTAAAACTTTCGTTTGGGATAATTCCATTTATACATCAACTAAACTATTATTGACCATGAAATTATTCAGGCGGAACTTTCCTCAAGTGTTGTGTCGGAGAAAAACCAGCTAGATATTATTAGTGTGCGTGAGTTGGGGGAAAGAAAAAAGAAAATTCGAAGAATACTCGATGATGCTGAATTAACGGAAGAAACCAAGAAAAAAATTGCAATCGAAAAGGTAAAATCCGACCCTTCAATTCTATATATTAATATCATTTTTTTTTTCATCACATCACTTTTACAGGAACGACAAGAGCGGCTTAAATCTTTAGAGGCGGAATATTCTATAGAATCTCTTACACGGAATTCCATGGTCAATAACGGGGTTTCTTTTGATGGCGCCGGAATTGAAATGCCGGGCGATACCGATTCAGGCTACGTAATAAACTTGGTGAGAGAGGAAAGTGAAGTACCTGTCAGGATTCCTCCAAGCATCTCATCAAAATTGAAACACCATCAGGTTCGAATCACGCGCGTTTTTTCTTTCCGTATCTTTTAATTATAATCGGGAACTTTCATGCGAGAAGAATCTTTATATTTTCTCTTAAATGTTCAAACTTAACGAACATTTATCTGCGTGTGTGTTTCTCGGAGTTAATTATCGATGTTATGTTGTATAAATGTTTGTTAAGGATGTTTTGCATGTCTAGTTTTATTACTGAACTGAACGGTCTTACGTAAGATCATTGCCTAGTTTCCGATTTTGGTACAAATGCAGATTGCAGGGATTCGATTTATGTGGGAAAATATAATTCAATCGGTGAGGAAAGTGAGGTCTGGCGATAGTGGTCTCGGTTGCATTCTTGCTCATACGATGGGGTTAGGCAAAACTTTTCAGGTACCGTTTCTAAGCCAGATTTAATTATTTCCCCCCCCCCCCCCCTTAAATTTATACGCATTCGTTTCCATAGATACACATCTTTCTTCAAATTTTCATGAATTTAAAATTATTGTTTTCGGGTTTCGGTTTATGGTTTTGGGGTTTTGGCGTTTCGGGGTTTTGGATTTTCGGATTTTGGATTTTCGGATTTCGGATTTTGGGTTTTCGGGTGTTCGGGTTTTCGGGGTTTCGGGGTTTCGGGTTTTGGGGTTTCGGGTTCTTTGGTTTTTGTGTTTCGGGGTTTTGGGGTTTTGGAGTTTTTGGGTTTTTCGGTTTTCCCGTTTCGGTGTTTTTGGATTTTTGGTGTTTCGAGGTTTCGGATTTCGGGTTTTCGATTTTAATTTAAATCATTTGTGAATGCAGGTCATTGCTTTTCTGTACACTGTTATGAGAAGTATGGATCTAGGATTGAAAACTGCACTTATCGTGACGCCTGTAAGCGTACAACATAATTGGCGACACGAGTTTATGAAATGGAAACCGTCTGAGCTTAAACCACTTCCTACCTTCATGCTCGAAGATGTCCCAAGGTTCGTCTTTTTTTTTTTTTTTAACTTTTTTTTGTCTGATTAACATATTGACATGGATATGATATTGTTAGCTTTATTTCGTTTAGGGAGAAAAGAGTTGAACTACTGACAAAGTGGAGAACTAAAGGTGGAATCTTCTTAATTGGTTACACGGCATTCCGAAATTTGTCTCTTGGAAAGTATGTTAAGGATCAAGATTCCGCTAAGCAGATCAGTGACGCACTTCAGGTGATTTTTCGTAATCCGATACCGAATTCTGCACATGTTTAAAAAAGAATCAATGTTTTTTTTCTTTCGTTGCCAGGCTGGACCGGATATCCTCGTTTGCGACGAGGCTCACACGATCAAGAACACCAAAGCCGACACAACCCAAGCACTGAAACAAGTCAAATGCCGGAGAAGGATTGCACTAACCGGATCGCCTCTTCAGAACAATCTAATGGAGTACTATTGCGTATGGGTTTTCGATTTTTCAAGTCTCGATGTTTTTTTCAAAATGTAGAAATGAATAAACGAGTATGTCGATTTTTGTAAACAGATGGTCGACTTTGTTAGAGAAGGATTTCTCGGAAGCAGCCACGAGTTTAGGAATCGGTAGAGGCTCTTAAAAAAGTTATTATCGTTCGAAATCTTATTTACTCTTTTATTAAAATCCTTTTTTATGCCGTTTCGCAGTTTCCAAAATCCAATCGAGAATGGCCAGCACACAAATTCTACTGCAGAAGATGTAAAGATAATGAACCAAAGATCCCATATTCTGTACGAGCAGTTAAAAGGGTTCGTTCAGAGGATGGACACTAGTGTGGTTAAAAAAGATTTACCCCCGAAAACTGTATTCGTTATCGCCGTAAAGCTATGCCCTTTACAAAGGAAACTGTACAAAAGATTTCTCGACGTTCATCATTTTACGAAGGACAAGGCGGCCTCCGACGATGAAAAGATATTTAAAACTTCTTTCTTTGCTGCATACCAGACGTTAGCTCGGGTACATATTTATATATATATATTTATATATATATATATATATATATATATATATATATATACATGTTTCGTGTAATCATGCATGTTTAATGAATTTATTAAGTTCGAGTTGAATTACGTTTTGCTCTCTTCAGATATGGAACCATCCTGGAATTTTGCAACTGTCGAGAGAAAACAAAAACCGAGTTAAATACGAAGATGTAGAAGATTGTCTTGCAAACGACAGCTCGAGCGACGAGAATACCGACTGCAACGTCATCTCTGGAGGTAACTAACTATATGTAGTTGGTTAGGATAATTACATTTACTTTTACGATCCCGGCAAAATTCGACCCGGGCTACATATTTTTCACTATATCGTTGCATGCAGAGAAGCTGGATAATCCTCACAGTAAAACCAAGGATGCGCTTCCGAACGAGGTGCGATAGCTTCGGTTATTTGTGGTTAATAATCCGTACCCTGTTTTGATTTTTTTTTTTGATTAATTCCGATGCGTGTAGGATTGGTGGAGCGATAATCTCGAGAAAAATAGTTACGAGGAGGTCGATTACAGCGGCAAGATGGTTTTGCTACTCGATATACTGAGAATGTGCTCGGATATCGGTGACAAGGCGCTCGTGTTTAGCCAGAGTTTATTAACTCTTGACCTGATTGAATTTCATCTCTCGAAATCGCCCCTCTCGACAAAGGACGAAAAATGTTGGAAAAAGGGCAAGGACTGGTACAGGTGCGTATAAATTAGTAATAAGTCGAAAATCTTTGATTGATCGTTTTTTACGTTTTTAGAAAAGCTTCTATACAATGCTTTCTTGTTGCATATCTAAATAGGTTAGACTACGTGTGCAAGTTGGAACGGAGTTTCCAATTTCCGCCGGTTCCCGATCTGAAAAGTTCCGATTTTGGAACAAATTTTTTCATTCCGACTTCCGAAATTCTGATTTCCGATTTTTTTGGATTGGAATTGAAATTATATAAAATAAATTTGGAATTTCTGATTTCCGATCCGATTTAATTCCGAAAAATTTAGATTTTTTTCCGAAAAATACACTTATAAATAATATATATTATATAATACTTATGCTGTGTTTATTTTTATTTATTTATTTTGAACTGAAATTTCGACGTGGATGTTCTTATTTTTGAAAAATTATGAACATTTTAGAAAATTTCGGCTAAGTTTTGAAATTTTAAAGCTTATGAGATTTCCGATTTTTTTCCGAAATTCCGAAATTTCCGGGCCTTTTGGAATTGGAATGAATTTTTAGATTCCAAAAATTTTGGATTTGGAATTGGAATTGATTTTGTACTTCCGAAATTTTTTGGAAATTTTCCGAAAAGGCTAATTCCGATTCGATCCATCCTATTTCACCCCTAGGTTAGACGGAAAAACTGAAAGCTCGGAAAGGCAAAAACTGGTTGAGAGGTTCAATGAACCGCTGAATAAAAGGGTCAAGTGCGTTTTGATATCGACAAGGGCTGGATCTTTGGGCATAAATCTTCCTTCGGCTAATCGAGTAATCATAGTCGATGGATCTTGGAACCCGACGTATGATCTTCAAGCTATATTTAGGGTTTGGAGGTACGGACAAACGAAGCCCGTCTTTGCATACCGATTAATGGCACACGCCACGATGGAGGAGAAAATCTATAAGCGCCAGGTGTTTATTTATCGGCAGCTCGATGATAATGAATTAGTTTTAATTGCTAGTTAAAAAAATCGAAGCTTTAATGAATATAATAACTCGACAGGTGACTAAAGAAGGCCTTTCGGCAAGGGTAGTTGATAGGCAGCAGGTACACAGAACAATGTCTAGAGAAGAAATGTTGCATTTGTTCGAATTTGGCGACGATGGAAAAAATGCTGACGTAATGCACGAGGTGCGACGAGAGCAGGTTGTGACAGAATCGAGTACTTTGAAGCAGGAACTGCCACTTCATCTTGGGATTCCTTCCGACAAATTAATGCGGGATTTGATTAGCAGGCATCATCCCAGGTATATAGGTTATTCCTGCCTTCTTCGTAACTTTTAGCTACCCTTATAAGTAACAACACGTCGATTCAGCTCTCTCTCTCTCTCTCTCTCTCTCTCTCTCTCTCTCTCTCTCTCTCTCTCTCTCTCTCAGTTGGATTTCAAATTACCACGAACACGAGACACTCTTGCAAGAAAACAAAGACGAAAAGCTGTCGAAAGAAGAGCAGGACTTGGCTTGGGAAGTGTACCAGAAAACCCTCAAGTGGGAGGAGGAAGTCCAACCAGTACTCACTGCAGGAAACTGCGTACAGGAACAACAGCAGAAGAAGACTTGTTCATCATCGAGGCAGCCACAAATGCTTGTCGCTAAATATCCGACCGATCAAAAGCCAGTGCTTTCCAATGTAGAACGGGCCAGGCGAAAATGCAATAATCTCTCGCATTTACTAACGTTGAGAAGTCAAGGCACAAAAACGGGATGCAGCACAGTATGTGGAGAATGCGATCAAGAAATTAGGTGGGAGGACATCAAGAAATAACTAAACGTGTTAGTTTTCGATATATTAATGCTCCTACTATTTTGTCTTTTTGCTTCAATACTCGGGTTTTTGAGCTTCGGTTTTTTTGTTTGGTTCGGCCGAGTTTGTTAAAACCAGTCGTCTTTTGGTTTGTCGGAGGCTGTAAGATTACTCCCACACAAGGATTTGGCCCCATGTAGATTTTGAGGTGGCTAATCCATTTTTGTATCTACTTAAAAACTTGTATGTAATATTAATATATATATATATATATATCATCAAAACTTCTCGGTTCTCATTTTCCAAAATGAACTTTATTGTTGTTGTTATTATTATTATTATTATTATTATTATTATTATTATTATTATTATTATTATTATTATTATTATTATTATTATTCTTTTAATTAAATTAGACTTTGGTTCTCTTGTTGTATTTTGGGCTGAGCCCAAACGAATTTATCAAGAATTCGGCCCATTAGCCTATTTCTACTTGAGGCGGCCCAACCGAAACGAAAGGTGCACGCACTTGCACACAAAGCATGTTTGTTTGATGGAACGGACCTCTTTCGAACTTTGATTTGCACTGTTCATCGCCTTGATCATATTTGATCTTGATCGTCTATCTGAGGTACTTAAACATCTCCACCTCACCTCGATCTCAACCTTAATTCTCTTATGATCTCTCTCCCTCTCTCCTCTTTTGTCGTACCACTGCATTCAATTCACATTTTCTGCTGCTGGCGACACCTTAGTTGACCGTGACAATGGTTATACTACTATTGCAATCTCCTTTGGAGATCGTTTAACATTTCCTATCTATATATCTCAACCCGTTGAGAGAGATAAGAGAGAGAAGACAAATGTAAATTTGAATTATGTCCGTTTTTCTAGTTCTTCGTTCTTTTGTGAGTGAGTTCATAATTGGTGAGTTTGGAATTCGGGGTGAGAGTGAGTCCGAGTTTCTGAGTTTCATCAAATCTTCATATAATTAAAGCACTCAACTGTCTAAAAGAAAAATACTAAAGTAACTATAAACATTAAACACTTGTTTCTAAAATTAAAAAAAAATGATATTCAAGTTTTCCGACTCGAGCTGAACGAATGGTTGTTAAACTTGATTTGATAACCAATCGAGTCGAGTTTGAGTCGAGTTGATGCATAGCTTATCGAACAAAAAAATTTCTTCAAACATGATTTATTATGTTACAAATCGAGCTCAAGCGAGCATTTATCAGACAATCTCGGACGCATTTAATATACGTGTATATATATGTGTATGAGATAAGTTTCAAATTTATTTCAATAAATTATGTATTGAATATTGCTTTGAAATAGTAATAAATTAACAAAAGAACAACCACCATTTGTTTATAGGGTTGGTGGGAAATTCGTTCGTGATTGTAAAGTAAATGAGATGCTAGAGCATATTCTTTTTCTTGGATAAATATACCATTAGTAGGCCCATGTTTCTTTTTGTTCTATGACTTCTATTGATTGAATTGACACAGGTATGTTTCAATCAATGTTAGAAACTATCACTTATTTTTAGAATTGATTTTTGTAGTTTTTGAATATAAGATTATAAATTTGAGGTCCTTTCAAGAAATCCCTCATTACTTCTTTTAATGGAGAGAGATCTAGATTATTTATCTCTATTTGAGAAAAACTCGTATTCATTTCCAGCTATTATCATTTCTCCAGTTTTGTCCCCACCCGCCACATCATCACTGCATCACGCGCTGATCATCAGCGAATTTGTTTTTTTTTTTTTTGTTTTTTTTCTTCTCCTGTATCAGTTTTATTAATCGACTATGAAGCATAATCGATTAAGGAAATTTTTTTAATTTTTTTTAAATTTTTCCTTTTAACTTTTTTTGTTTTTTTATTTTTTTTCTATATCAGTATATTAATTGATTATGATGAAGCATAGTCAATATAGAGTCTACTACTAAAAATAACAAATCAAAACTGCAAAAAATACGAAATCAACTATATTTTACAAAAAAACAAAAAATATAAGGACATTATAATTGACTTATAGTTCTAAAAAAATTGATTTATACAATTGGAATCAATAAACAAAAAATTAAAAAAACATTAAAAAATTGGAGTCGATCAACCTTAATCAACTACCAAAGCATAGTCGATTAAGAATCTGCTAATAAAAATAACAAATCACAACTGCAAAAAAATGCAAAATCAACTACATTTTACGAAAACAAAAAATATACCAATATTATAATTGATTTATACAATTGGAATCAATAAACAAAAAATCCAAAAAAAAATAAAAAACAGGAGTTGATCAACCTTAATCGACTACCAGAGCATAGTCGATTAGCTTAATCGACTATTGAACATGTACATATATAATCAATTAAGATTCCAACCTGCGCGAATTTCTCCACGCGCGCCGTCCTCCGCCTGATTCACAAAAAAACCCTAAATATGTCTCCCCATCGTCACCACACCATCGCCACACTAGACTATTCAACAAATCCATAACAAGAATAAAATAAATAATTCGTACAAAAAACACAAATTAGCTAGCATTTCAATGTTAAAAAAAAAAATAATAAATAAAAGAAACGATTTAAGGTATTGACAACCCACTGCTTCCTCGACGACGAGCACCAGTCATCAGCTTCAACATAGTCGGTGGAAATCACCGTCACGAACTACAGATCCGTCACCACCCTTCACGCGGCGGTGGGAGGCGGCGACAAACACTCTTCCACTACCACCATCGTCGGTCGACGTCTTGCTTTTCCTCGAATTTCAGTCGAGAAGAGATAAGATGAGAAGATGAGAAAAGGTGAAGAAAGAACCGCAAATGAAATGAGTTAGGGTTTTGAAACACGAAAATGAGATTTAATAATAATAAGAGTGGTTTAGGAA